TAACAAGCATTTGTCCAAAAAGAGATATTAAAGAATCCAAGAATGTATTCAATTAAGTAATTGTCCAAACGAATTTCGTATGCACTTGTTGAATGCTATTTTTTTATCATATTTCTATTTTTTATTTATTTATATTTGTGCAAAATACGAATACAGTAATATAGTTATTTTTATAAAAAGAAAACTATGCAAAAAGTTTTGACCAGTGATCCTCAAAGCCATATTTACGACAAATAGATATATGCTGCACATTAACTGTTAGCCTATTCACTTTTGCGTAATTTTTCATGCTCACATATATGATATGGTTGCTATTTACAAAATGTAATACAATCGGATTTTTTCTATGTATTGGCGCTGATTTTAATGGAAAAAATATTGCGCATTGTTCATCCTTTTCATCAAAGATAGCAATAGGAATAGAAAAAGTATCAGCAGCCAATTGTGCACAATCAGGTGACAAAAACCAAAGTGAAGATGTACATGGTGATGCTCGAGACTCTAATATCCATTTGAGTAAATCAATGTCGTAACCCAGCCAGTCTTTATAAACTTCTATACGCTTATTCAATTGACCATTCATAGCCAGTTTAACAAGATTCCAGTTTTCTTCATTTCCTCGAATGGCAATAGCAAGTGCTCTAAATCCACAGTTACCATCACTTTTTGGATTACATATTTGATCTACATCATCGACAAGAATTCGAGAATTCAGTAAAATTTTTGGCCTTTTATCTATAATAATTATAATTTAATGATTTGTATATTAATATGTTATTTTATGTGATTTTAAAAGACACATTACCTTTAATATTAAGTGCTGAACCATTTAGTAAAGAATTTGAAGAATTAACATTTTCAATTGGTTTTTTTTTAACAACACCGACTTTCTTTTTCTTCTTAGCTTCCATATTCTCAAAATTGTTAGAATCTCCTCTGGGCCCGAAGTATTTAATCTGAGATGCAGACTCAAGATCTGCTTCGTTAACAATTTGTTCCACAGAGCATTACAGCTACCAATGCTTCTATGTAGAACTGTGCTGTTGTTGGTTGTTTTTGCGAGCTCCATTTTGTTTTTTGTCAGTATGAGTATAGGAGACTGTAAACTATTTATTATCTTCTGTTTAAATCTTGAGGCCTGCAGAATGTAACATAGCTTTGGCACAATACACGTATTATTTATATATGCTGCCTGTGCTACAGA